ATAATTAGTCTTCTTCTCGCCCCTGTTACCTAAAGAGTAAGATGGGGTAATTCCAACCCCTAGTTTAAAAAAATGCATAAAAACAGCAATATAGGGTGAAAACATTTATTTTTTAAACAAACTCCTTTAATGTACATAAATAAACATAAACATAGTTTAAAAATTAGAACTATAACAACAAATATTGAAATTTTTTTTTTTTTAAATTCAAAAAAATTTACGAAAAGGGGCAATTCCACCCCTTTTTAAAACATTAAAATAGCTATCATGCACGTCATCTGAACGAGACCTAGGGGTATTTTAATAGTTTTTAATTAATAATATGTGTTACTATGTTAAGTAGACTGTTATCAAATATAAATTTGTTTTAGTTTTAGAGTTTGATTTAGTGAAGTCAAACTTAGTGAATTGCCACGATGCCAAATCAAGCAAAGAATCATGATGAAAATTGAAAGTTTGTGTGCATGTTCTGTCTAAAAAAATGTTTAAGACAGCTTACTACTTTTCAAGCAGATCGAATATGCCAACTGTACAAGACCAAGATCAATATTAGTGATACTTGGGTACCAAAAGGATTCTGCAAATTGTGTAGAATTACTTTATGCAGGAAAAAAGAGGGAAAGAAGTCGCACTCCCTCCTTTGTTTGATTTTAAGTCAATACAAGTGAGACCTAAAACAAGAGGCACGATGTGTTGTTGCCTAATATGCCGAATTGGTCGTTCAAAGCTGCAAGAAAACCATCCTCTTATAGAGCAAACCACTATTGAGAAAAAACCAAAGGTGCGCATCTCGTGTTATTTCCAATAAAGAATTATTTCCGGAAGGAACTATTCTAATGGCTAAAGGATCCGGTGGGCCTCCACTTACAGTTACCCCTGGTAAATATTTATACTTAAATAATTTTAACATGCATGTTGAAATAAAGTCTTGACTATTAGGAAATAACACTAGAAAGATTTCAAAAAGTATATTTTTGACAAGTTTCTAATTTCTTTAAAAACGAATAACTTGAAAGTTTTACACAAACTTACTAATAAAAGTTTATTGTAACTATAAATAATGTATGTTTTGGTTTTAGATCGAAGTAGTGCGCAGACACCATCAAGGGCTCCGAAATTGACCACTGTAGCGCTTGTAAATGTGTTAATAAATATGGGCCTGTCAAACGACGGATTAAAGAAACTTGATAGAACTGTAAACAAAACATCAAGCAGTAAGATGGTAGAGTGAAACTTCTACATGAATTTTCTAAGACTAGGTCAACAGTTGAGCGATTTCTTCATGTGCAGCGACTTAAAAATCACAGACAAAAAACAGATTCTTGTACAGTTCATATTGTTGCCCACTGCAACGATTTATCAAGTCTTGTTAATCATGTTATTCAGCCCCGTAATACTTCTGGTGGCTATTTTGTTAAGCTCGGAGTTGATGGTGGCAAAGGTTTTCTCTAGTTTTTGCCTAAGCATTGTTGATACTGCGTTAAGGAATAAAACCAGCTTACGCACCAACAGCAACCTCTTACTTAAAGGACTGGTAAAGACACTGGAGTCAAGTGACAAATTATTGTTGGGGTTTCAGAAAATTTGCCAGAAACACACTCCAATATTGAACAAATCTGGTCACTGATTAATGCAAATGCAGTTAAACTAATTTTGGCTTGTGATATGAAATTTACAAATATAATTTGTGGTCTTGAAACTCATTCAAGAACGCACCCTTGCACCTGGTGTGACGTCAAATCCAATTGTCTTGCCAAATCTGGAAACTTGCGAACACTGGGCTCAATTAATTCAAGCCTTGAGCCTTTGCATCAATCTGGCGGGCTTGTTGCTAATGCAAAGCTGTTTGGCAATGTCATTCGAAAGCCAATAATCTGCGGGCCTGTCAATATTCTGATTTCGGAAATCATTCCACCGATAGAATTGCATCTTCTCTTAGGAGTTGTCAACCATCTTTTCAAGATCCTTAAAACTGCTTGGATAGAAGCTGTGGCCAGCCGCCCTCCACATTCAATTAAGCCTGTATCATGGGGGCCAGTTTGAGAGAAATGAATACAGAAAGCTTCTTAAAAATGTGGATATGCTGCAGCAACTTGCTGAGACAAACATGGTTCCCAATATTTTGTGCATAATTGAAGCATTCAAAAGCTTCAATTTTAGTTGTCAAGGCTTGTTTTGGATACATCCTTCAGCTGGATTTCGCTGAAAAATTGAATATTTCAAAAAGTGTTACCTAATGATAACTGGTGCAAGCGTAACAACCAAATTTCACGCCGTCTTCTACCACATCAAGGATTTCATCAGTCACAAAGGATATCCCTTGGGGCCCTATAGTGAACAAACTAAGCGAAATAATAATCATCCAGAGTACAAAGAAAGATTGTTGCGCTGCATGGCTGATCTAAACAGTAGGCATATTTAAAGAACATCATTTGAGTTATTAGAAATTAGGCTGCTGAAATCCATATGTTCCGGCGTATAATAAATATTTTCATCATCTTTAAAAGTAGTATTATAGAGAATTTGTATTAAATGAGTACATTTGAGCTATTTATTAATAATCTTTTGGTGGAGTTTTGGTTTTTTTGAAAATTAAAAAAACATTTCTTTAGATGTAATTAGATATTTGATGGTAATACAATGTAAAAAATAGGGTTTAAATAGATTTCACTTCATTTTAAAGGTAAATGTATTTAAGGAGGTCAATACAAAATATTTTAGGAGATCTACTTTTTTTTTTTGCTTTTCCTTTGACCAGGTTTTGCACTTCTTTTTAGCTTTTTGTTTTTGGCAGCAGTTTATACCTTAGGAAATGTTGGTATATTCAAGCGAAGCTTACATGGCCGTCAACGCCAGGGAGGCTAGGGGGTCATATCCTTCCCTACTTTTTTTTGCGAAGACCTTTTGTTTTAGTAATATAGGCAATTATTTTAGAAATTATGGATTTTAATTTAGAAACTGAGGGGTTGACCCCCTCCACTTTGAAGGCGGTGTTACTGCACTATTAGCATAAAACTATTTTAAAAACGCTTTAAGTAAAAAGTCACTATTTTGGTCTATAAAATGAAAACTGTACATGTACCAATCAAATATTTATAACAAAAATTGTTGGTACTACATAGTAGAACACTCATGTAACCGTTATTTTAAAAATAGTGAACAATTTTCAAAGTAATTGGTAATGCTTTGAGGTATAAGTAGCAAAAAACTGACAAAACTTTAACTAAAACTGCAATAAATCTTACACCAGTCATCCAATCAGGCTGAAATTTTGTCCAGAGTTTGGTGTGACTGTTGACTACATTTCCATCAATTTTTATCAAATTATATTGAGTGGTTTAAATTCTACAAGTGTTTTTATTGGCGCACAATGAAGTCAAATTTTGACTTAATTTGAACAGGGTACCTTGATGTGTATGCTAACTTTCCGTATAAGTGGCGTTCTTGGGACAGCTAGGTAGGCATTATAAGGATCCGTGCTAACCGTGGTTAGGTGTATAAATGCAAATCCATAGAACTCCGTTTGAAATTTTGAAAAAAAAAGAGTTTTCTTTAAGCTATAATTCAAGAAGTCAAAAATAGTTATGGTTACAAGACAGACAAAAAGCTAAAATTTTCTAAAAGATCTCGAAAGCAGTTCAGCAAACGCCGAAAACTTATTCAAAAATTGTTACGAGAAAGAAACAATAAGTGCATTACAACAGACGATGAAACCTATTGCAAAATTGTTTGACGAGCCCTTGCGTTTTGTTAAACACAAGTAAAAACAAAAAAGTTTCAATACGAACTTTAATATGGCGAGGCATCTGGTTGTGTGGTTTTAAAATTTAATTATTTTTTAAAAACGGATACATAAACTGCAATGTTTACATGAAAAAATGTTTACGAAAGCAACTTGTACCAATAATCCGTTGCCCACGAAACAATTTTAACATGCATGCTCATTAGGACTACGCAAATGCTAAACCTTTAAGTGTTCTAACAAAGTTGGAAAATGACTTAAAATGAATCGCAAGACTCAACAAAATGGAGCTTCCCGGTTGGCTCTGGAAATAATTTTGAAATGCACGTTTTTCAAAGAAACCTAAGTGCTGAAAATTTAAGAGTTCTAGTTTGTCTGAAAGGAAGTGATAAATCAATCTGGGACAATTGGTAACCGACCAACCGAATTGGAAACCGACCCAAAGGAAAGGTTAAAAAAAAAATTACGAGTTTATTCTAAATAGTATAAAACTAAATTTAATGTTTTTAAAAATACAAAATTATTCTAAACAGTCAAAAGCTAAAATAGATGTGTTTAATTCAAATTTTTTATGTAACTAGGGCGCTACTAGGTAAAATTTAAAACAAATATAAAAAGTCATACATTAAAATAAAGAAAAATAATTTTTGAATAAAGTTTTCACCGTTTGATTACTTAAAAATTTAAATTCTCACTTAAAAACGTTTATATATATATATATATATATATATATATATATATATATATATATATATATATATATATATATATATATATATATATATATATATATATATATATATATATATATATATATATATATATATATATATATATATATATATATTATATATATATATATATATATATATTTATATATATATGTATATATATATATTTATACATAAATTATATATGTATATATATATGCATATATAATTTTTTTTTTATCTTAAAACACATACACACACACCAACACATACACACACACACACATATATATATAAATATATATATATATATATATATATATATATATATATATATATATATATATATATATATATATATATATATATATATATATATATATATATGTATATATATATGTATATATATATATATATATATATATATATATATATATATATATATATATATATATATATATATATATATATATATATGCATATTTATGTATACATATAAAATTTAGTTGAACAGAAGTTCAGACACCAAATTACATACTTTTATACATATTTTAGTACGCTCTTTTTTTGGTAAGACAAAATACCCCGTCCCTTTTGAAATAACGGCATATAAAACTTTGTAATGCAGTTTCAGATTACTTTCTAACATCGATGCGGTTGGCCTGTCACTCGGAACATTTTCTAAGCATTTTTGAATCAGTTTACTAAATATTATAGGTTCTTCGCTAAGCTCTACTTTATTATTTTCAAAGCATGAGTTTGACCAGTAATTAAGTGGTACATTGTCAACCAAATGTATAAACATCAACTTTTTCTTTATAATTTTCAGTACAAAACTCATCTGGCATGTATCGGTCTGGTCCTACTACAGTGTGATTTTGAAACTTATCTTGAAGTCTAGCAATTCCCATATCGCCAATTTTCGCTACATAGTTTTTCTTTACAAATATGTTGTCAGGTTGAATGTCTCTGTGAATATAATGTTTTCTGTGTATTCTTTTCATTCCAGATGCTATATTGCATGCTATGGACAGTCGGCATCTGTATGATAAATCTGGTTCATTTTTTAAAAGGTTAGCCAAACTTGCTTTCTCCATATATTCAGTAAGCAGGTAAAATTTTGTTTTTTTTATATCATTCACTATACAACTGCCATATGTCTTGATAGTATAATTGCTTTTAATTTCGTTATACGCCAATACTTCACCAATAAAACTCTTATTCAAACTGTTTACGTCTAAGCCTAAAAAAAGATGTTGTAATTGCCATTCCAACACTTTGCAAACAACTATTTTGTTTTTAGAAATTATTTTTGCTTTGTGTGCAGTACCAAATGCACAGCTACCTAAACGTTCTAAAAGTTCAATGTCAGATGGATTCACATTTCGAATGCTATAACATACTAATATAGAATGTTCCTTTTTATGATCATTTATTTCAGTTTTTTTTTCAAAATATTTATAGCATAAATCGAATTCGTTGCATTCGTCACATTTAAATCGCAAACCAAAAATTGGATGAGAATTGCATCCTTTGCATGTTGTTTCGTGTTCCACTCCATCAAATTTTTTTTTAAACTTTTAGAGTAACATTTTCCCCCTCAATTTCATTGCCAATATTTCTTTTGGTCCACTATACCTAACCATAGGATGAGCTTTAACATGTGGCGCAGTTATCTTTCTTGATTCAAAGCAAACTCCGCAAAGATCGTATTCGTTGCACACCAAACATTTATAACAATCGACTACAAAGTTAACTTGATTGCATGCTTGACATGTAACATTTTTATGTGGAGGAATCAATGTGCTAAAATATCCATACTTATTCAGAGAAAGGTATAAACTTGATGAACTTGATGAACTCGATGAACTAATTCTTTAATTTTTGTGTTGTTTTTAATTCAAGGATTCTGGATTTTTATTTTCATTATCATTATTGTTAGCAATTTTATTGTCTGAATAATTTTTTTTTTATTACTAGAGCATCTGATAAGTCCAATGAGGTTGTAATCTTTTCATTATTTTGAGTATTTTCTATATCTTTTGCAGCGCTGTTACCTATTGCATACTCTATGTGACTATTCTTATACATATTATTGGATTAAAATACACTTGAACTGTAACTTTTATTACGTTAAGGATTGATTAATAATGGAATTGTAAATTCAAAATAATTTTTTTTTACATTTTTTTTTCATTGATTTAACCTTGCAACAACAACAAAACACAACAAACTTAGTTACAGTTCAGATTTGGTGTCAGTCATATGATTAAAAATAAATTATTGAAATGACACTGTAATTAAACACACATTAAAATGACACCTTAATAAATTAAATAAATAAAGCAAAAAATGAAATTAACAAAAAGTAGAAAAAAAAATCAATATTAAGTTTAAAACAAAAAATGAGTGAATAAATGAATGAACAGAGCAACATTAATAATCCAACAAACAAGACTATTAATAGTGTTTGTTAATAACAAATAATATGTGGACGATGCGCCATGAAAAAGAATGAATAAATGAAGTAAAGCTGCGCTTTGTGACAGAAAATGCAATGCAATAAAAATACAACAATTTAAATAGTACTTAATAGTATAACGAATACAGAAAAATACACATATTTATAAGAAATTTTTATTTTCATCCTAGTACAATAATGCACGACATTATAAACAATACCGAGAAGAACTTTTTAATTTATTAACAGAGTCGACAATAACAAAGGGAGGATGGGGGGGGGGTGTCAGATGAGATGACTTCTTCTCAAGACCCCTTCTCTTTCTTATTTACATTAGTTATCTCCCTAAAGCTTCTCTTTCTTATTTACATTAATTATCTCCCTAAAGCTACTCTTTCTTATTTACATTAATGATCTCCCTAAAGCTACTTTTTCTTATTTACATTAATGATCTCCCTAAAGCTACTAATTCAATGACCGTTATGCTTGCTGATTATACTAATCTCCTTTTTTTTCATAAATGCATAACAACATTGTTTCCAAATAAGAACAACAAGTTATTAAAAATTTGTGACTGATTTTAAATTAATAAGTTGTCGCTTAATGTTGATAAAACAAAGTGTACACTTTTTTATTCGCCTTTTAATAAGAAATTACTGCCTAATAAAACGCCCGTTTTTTTTATTGGCGAAATGCAAAAAAAAAGAGAAACTTATACTAACTTTTTAGGGACTATGTTGATGAAAACATTAGAAATATCACATAGAATTGTTTTTGGAACAAAGTTGCTAAAAGTATAGGAAAAATGTTTAAAACAAGAAATGAGTTTAAATAAACATATTTTAACACTACTCTTTTATCCATTGCCATATAAATTACGTAAACATTTTCTGGGGTAATACCAATAAACTTAAATTGTTAACACTCTATTGTCAGCAGAAACATGTTGCTCGTCTAATAAATTTAAAGATAAATTTACTTATGTCAAGCTTCTCTTATTTTAAATAAAAGTTCCTTTTATTTATTAGCTAGGTATTTCAAATATACTTTGTTTTATATACAAATGTAAAACTAACTTATCTCTTATTTCTCTTCATAATCTATATATACCTTAAAAGATAAAAGTATATACAACGTAAAAGATTTTGGCAAAGTTAAGTATTTCATTTCAAGGAGCTTCTCTTTGGATCTTTGGAACAAAACAGTTTTGAAAAACTTTGATTTTTCCTTTGAATGGAATTACCCTTTCTTCAAAAAATAAAACTAAAAAAAAAATCTTTATATTTATCGAAGACTCATTTTATATTTTCAACATTTTTATGTTAAATGAATTCTTAATACATAAATTATTTCACATATAATAGTTTATTGAATTCTAATCTTATGTTTCAATGACGTAATATTTTTCTGGTAATTTTTTATTTTTAATTTGTTATTTCTCGATATTTTTCGTGGTTCTCTGCGACAAGACGTAGTGATCTTTTTTCTATTTATTTATTTATTTTTCGTCATATATAAGCATTTTACAATGTTCTTGTTTCCAAGTTTAATAAAATAAATCAAAATATAAAATAAATCTTGTCGTCAAGCCCCTACAATTTGCGTGATATATTTTTTACAAAGTATCCATAATATATAAAATATAATAATTTATATTTACTATATAAAGCAAGTTAAAATAACAATAATAAAATTTGCTAAATTAAATAAATAAATAAATTTTCAGTTTCCGTGTTCTTTATTTCTTATTTTTATTGATTTACTAATTTGTATTTTTTTTCCATTTTTATATATTATATAAAGATAAACAAAAAAATAAAAATAAGAATATAGAAAGTAATTAAATTTTTTTTTTTGGAGCTAACTATTGTACTAATAAGGTAAACAAGTAAAACACCAAATTCCTACACCATAGATTAAAACGAATAAAAAAAATAGGGTTTACGGTTCAAACAATTTTGGCATTGCTGATATTTTTAATTTTTACTTTCTAACTTTAAAAAAAAATAGACTGCAAAAGTTGGATAAGATGTCTACTCCTTGGGTATTGGGTAATTGGGTAACATGCCAACTTCATGTTAAATACCTACTTGGCATGTTGCAGATGTTACAGCACCTTCACTTTCAAATAACAATAGGGCTACTTTTTAGATATACATGGTATGCTTGGGCTGTTACTTAAAAGACTAAAATAAAAGCATGAAAACTTTCTTGATTGTTTGAAATTAACAATTAGCATAATATCCTAAATTAGCATGACAAAACGCATTTTGTGATGCTAATATAGGAGTTTAAAGTTTCAGTTAAGAAAACCTATTATAGCTTATATGTATGAATTAAACAACTCATATTAAGTAGAATTTTAATAAATAGATCCATTTATTTTCACTTTGTTTATGGTTTTATAGGGACTTAATCAAATTTCAAGTTATTTCATATTTTGATTATTCATATCCAGGTTTTTGTAAAACATCAATTTTGTATTTTAGTTGAATACTAGTATGTAAGTGTGTACATTTTGAAAACATTATAAGTCGATAAACTTTCATGTACTGATAAACATGTAATTATCCTCACAGATTTAAGTCTAGCAGCAGATGAAAAAGTTTTAGAACATTTCACTCCTTTAATTTGGGTAAAATTTTTTGCTACTCTTCAAGAATATTTTAAAACATTTTAAATGATCTGTTTCCCTTATTACTGAAAAAACCCATTTACTCTAAGTTGGACTTTTTCAATTAGACAAGATAGTGAGAAATTCTATAAGGTTTCATTTGGTGATTTATTTTTAACATTATGCGTTTCTCTTATTACAGGTTTTTTTTACTTTCATGGGATCACTGTAAGAATTTTACAAGATATAAAGTTTTTCCAGTTCAATCTCCTACACAGTTTTGTTAAATATAAATATATTTGACATAATTGTGCAGGACATTGAACTGAAAAAAAGCACTTAAGGTTACTTCCTATAATCAAAGTATTTTTAAGTTAAACTTGAACAAGATTCTCATCCTCAGTAGTTGTTCTAGTGAAGTTGTTTCTTTTCTATGGCAGCTTTATTATACTTTTTATAATCAACCATTAAAATATAATGTTTCTCTGATTTAAAATTTTCTTCTATGTAAATCAAAATTTTTCCTTTTTTTTTTAAAATTTGAATTTTCATGCTATATTTTTCTATACAATGTTCTTATATCCGAAGATATTGTTGGATTAGCATAGGAACAACCACAAATAGTCATTAAGACTAATTCAAAGTAGCGTCCGTTATTGACCAACATTTTTGCGTACCGAAGTACTACTTAAGCGCTGAGTTGGCGGTGGCAGGATTTGAACTCATATCGTAACTGTCCGGGATTAAACTTTTTGTTCGACGCTCCAACCAACTAAGCTATCCAGCCACATTGACAACTATATGGTTAGTTGAACAACAGTCAACAAAAAATTTGCCATTTTTGAATGAAGGGTGCATATATATCACTTAAATTTTTGAATGGAGGGTGCATATATTTATCTTCAATTTTGAATGAAGGGTGCATATTTATCTTCAACTTTTAAATGGAGGGTGCATATATTTATCTTCAATAAATAAAAATAAAAAATTAGTAATTTTGCAACATTGGTTATCACTGATTTTTAAGTTAATTTTGATTATTTACACAATTTTCTTACTTTATTTTTATTATCCTCGCAGCAGATTTGCGACGTGGTGAGTCGCTTTTTAAAACTGTTTTATTTATAAACTTTGTACTAATTTTCATAATAATATTTTATTAAGTTTTTTTTTTAATTTTCTGCTTTTATAAAACTAAATGCTTGTTTAAATTTTCTGAAACTTTAAACACTTTTTGTTTGTGTTTGATCCACATTAAAATATTCAAATTCCTTTGGCCCTTTTATAATTATTGTTATTCAAAGTGCATCACTTAAAATATCATCTACAGATCCTAATGTTTTTATTGATATTTCTGCTTTTATTATATAGACTTAAAATTCAATTTTTAAAGAGTTATTAGCTGTTTGTAGAGTTTAATAGTATGGCTGCTGAAAGAAAATTCTTCCATGTAAGAACTAATGTGTTCTTACATGGCAGAGTTTTATTGGTCTTTTAAACCAACTATTTTAGATACGTTCATTAAGTTGTTCAAAAGGGATTTCCGTATTTGATACTTCAAGGTCAAAAGCATTTGTTTTTTAACAACATATCAGCAAGAGATTAATAAAAGCTATTCATCAACCGGTACAGTTAAAAGTTAAGCATTAGCCCAGTGGAAAAAAAAAAGCCGTGTTCCACCCCAACCAGCAAGCTTACATTGGCCAATATTCAGCTAATATATTTTTTGGCGTAATATTTCAATTCTCTAAATCAATTTTTTGCAAATATCGTACTATGTAGGGTCAACATTTGGCCAATGTAGTATCGGCTCAATATTTTGCTAAAAAAATCTGTTCTTACTCAAACCTCGTAACTCTGTTGATCCTATATTCGGCCGATATGGTTGTGGATTTATTTTGGTATATTTTTAAAACTTGTTGCATAATATTAAAAAAAATGGTATCGTTATACAAAATAAAGAAGGTTTTAATATTATTTTTCCATTTTTTTATTTTATAAAAATAAACAAAATAG